GTGTAACTAAATAATGTAAATTTAATGCAACGGCATGTATTATATAATATTAATGTATAATTGTAAACCCTCTAATATACAGTCGTGGACAAATATACGTGCATACCTTCTAAAAAGGAATAATGTTTTTAACATTTGATCAAATCAGGTAAATTTTTGTATACGTTAGTAGGACTAGTTTGCTAGACAATGAATAACAAATTTTTACAAAAATAACAACTGGGAGAAATGACAAAGAAAATTAAAAAATCACGTTTTTTAATTTTTTTATTTAATAATAAAGCATTTTTTAGATTTCGGTAGCTTATATATATGCTGAAATTTTCATCGAAATTTATTGATTTAGAGAGAACTGATAACTGGATCATGATAGAATCGCTAGATTTCTTACAGTTTTTGGTCGAAAGTCGTGAAAAACTTCAATTTTCTCAAACTGTAATTGTTTGTAGCTCATGACAACGTTAACCAATTTCGACGAAATAAAAAGAAAATGTATTGATCAAATGTTTGTTACATGTTCACACAGATAAAAAAGTTTAGAAACATGATTTTTTAATTTTTGTTATTATTCTGCTTTATTTCGCTTGATGACATGTCTGCATGCAGGTTGACAACGGAACATGGTCAACATAATTTATTCTGTTGCGTGTGGTTCGATTGGAAATTTGTTGAGCTAAAATAACATGGTTGTAAGAGAGTTTTAAAATGATTGTACCAAATTTTCGTCAACACTTTCCTTTCGGAGTTTCAAGGTTATTTATTGGTAATTTACAATGTCTTTTTATATTCGGAAAAACTATATTGTATAATAAAAGATGGGTACAAAAAAAAATCCTTAAGCATGTTATGTTAGCTAAAAAAATTTCCAATCGAACCACTAACAGTAGAATAAATTAAGCTGATCATATTTCGTGCTTCACCCTGTACATTTTTTTTATGGTTGTATATACAGAGTGGTCCACTTAAACGTTTCGATATGCATAAATATCTTCTCTAATAGTGATGATGCAAAAAATATTCTTATATAGAATTTGACTACAAATGTAGATTTTAATTTGTATATAAGTGCATATTTTTGTATTTCATCGTGTAGTTAATCTAAAAACCATTCAGAAACGCGTACGATAACTTGACCTCGAAACGATGCAATAAAAAATATGCACGTACGTAAAGGTGAACCACCCTGTATGTTGTATACAAATTAATTATCTATTATTCTACAACCAATGAAATATTTGTTATTTCGTGCTGTTAAGCTCGACGTTAAGGAACCCATGATTTCACTCATGAATCATTCTCAAACTCTTTCTCATTATCAAGCTCTGTTTTTGCCGCATCATATTCGAATGTTTGCCTGGCCACGTCATCTTCAAAACAATGACTTTATCACAATAGCCCTTACAACTCATAAACCCTCACCACTCTAGTTAGATTCTATATGTACACATCGTTTTCCCTCAAATCATCAGATTCCTTCCGAACGCTCATCTAACAAGTTCTGTTGCATCATACACTAGAGTGATTCTTATCGAACAACAGAACTGTTGATGTCATCCACGCGTTCGTAGAATCTATTTAAACAAATCCTGTGAAATTCTCTCCACTCGGTGCAAGAATCTGTTACATTTTTGGCAAACTCTCTCGTCGTGTAGTGGTGGTGGTGCTTCGATCAAGGTAAGAGTCAATAGAGTGTTTAGACATGAAAATTTTTAAAATTATTTAAAGTAAATTTAACCGATTTAGACTGTGAACGTCATGTATGTAAATATAATAAAAATAAATGGTAATAACAATATCGTTGATATTTTGTAATAACTGTTTAAAAAGATAAAAATATTGTTTAAGCGGTGCAGTATATTAGTATACCAATTGTTAAGAAAAATAATTTAACCTTGTTTGACATACGCAGAAAGAAACGTAAAGTAATTTATTGTATTTTCATCACCACTAATTAAATAGTAAATGCTTGCATAATATGGTAAAAGTAGAATATTATTTTTGTAGAATATTATTTATTATAATTGCATGTACATTTTCTCTGTCTCTGCACATATGCATAGTTACATTAGCAATTAGGAGTCTTGTTTTTTCGTGTGCGGATTAATCTTAATGGCGCTATGGATATCAGTTTTAGCTTCGTAGTATATGGTTATCAGAAAATCCATCTATCTATACTACTTATCAATACATTCAATTTATCTTCCTCTTCATCGTAATTGAGGTAGTAAAGTGAATGCATTTCTCACCGTGAGTAAGCATTTTAAGAACATTGTTTACACTTGCAGTTTCGAAAAGAACAGTTCCCTACATTATCGTCTCCAATTTCAACACAGAAAGTAATCATTTTTAATCTATGAGAAAATTCTTTTTCTTGTGATACATTTTATAGTAAACTTCCTAAGCAATATGTGTAATTGACATTTCTGGATTCCAATGCAAAATAACATTAAATCTTGGTGTTTTCCTTGTTTTATAAAAACTAAAATACTAATCCTACTTATATGATAGAAGATAATATTTATCCATTTAATCTTTTATTATGTACAGAATAAAACTAAATAACTTTTTAAAAATTGGACCACATCATGTTTTAATTGTCGTTCTAGGCTTTGATAAAAAAAAGTTTAACCCTTTCGCTACGGCGGTTCAGTCCGCCGTAGCGCCCCTCCTGAACGGAACCACCCGCCGAAATTGTGCACATTGCGCGTGGATAGTGTATTTGGGAAGAAAAGGGATTTTTCTTTAAAACAATATAGTTATAATTTCTGCATAAGGTATAAAGTTATTTAATAGGTAAAAAAAGTTTCATTAACAATGGAAAAAGTGAAGAAATAATATATAATATACAGTAATAAAATAAAACATAATATTCATAATACAAAACATAATACATAATAATTAGTCCTAAAGTTAGTACTTTCGATTTTCTATCCCTTTATGACATGTAACACAATAATAATGGGAAATGCAGGTAGAACAAATATAACTTGAATGGTGTGTCGTTTATTTCGGACTGTCGTTTGTTTGTTTCGTCAAAAGATTCACGCAATAGTAACAAGAGGCGATTTTACCAGCATGTCGGATATATCCGGCGTTCGTCCCCAGAGGGCGATCATGTGGATGTCGGATATATCCGGCGTTCGGCTCCGCGAGTGTTCATATGGATGACGGATATATCCGTCGTTCGGAGCGAAAGGGTTAAAAACATGAGTTATTTATTTTAGCT